TCATTGTGTAAGTCTTTCCGCTACCGGTGACCTAAAAAAGCTGATAAGAAGACAATAGTCTGAAGTTTTCGAAGCAGTAATACTCCACGCTTGAGATATGTGACAAGAAAAAACAAAAACTGCAAAAGAAAAAAAGAATTACACACTCCATAGGTGAACAAAAGCCCATTCTTTCCAGCAAGCAGATCTCCTACAAGATCTACCGCGCACCTTTCAAAAACAACTTGTTGGCGATCATTTTCGTCGAATACATATCCGAATTCAAAGTCTTTCTGTCCCTGAAAACAATTTCCAATGCAGAATGTTGCGTCAAGAAGACATCCACAGCTAAGGACTTACATAAGGGGATCCGTCCCTCTTCAACATGCCAGGAGGTGGAACAACTCTAATTACATTCTCTTCAGCTACTATCAGACAAGGAGTAGGGCCGTAGTATGGGGTGAGACGGCAAACGACTTCAACCGCATCTTTATCTTCAGTCGATCTCTTAGCTCGGCAATGATTACGTGATGGAGTTGCACATCGCCTGAAAATTCATATTGATGGGGTCCCCGTGCCTTTATAAGCGCATTAAAAATTTTAGTATAAGCACATTAAACATTTTAGTTCCCATTCGTCATAATAATATGAACAATTTTGCTATTATATGTTTTTATGATTTCAAGATTTTTTCTTCCTTGCTCTCTGAGCATTCACTTATGCCACACTGACTACCTTTCCTAACCACTGCCACCATTTTGAATGCTTCAAGCGTCGTACCAGAACCTTAACATAGATGATTGCGTCGATTACAGGAGTCGCGCGGTCATCAATGGGAAAAATGTCCTTTTCAACATTGTGAAATACTTCTCAGAAATTTGTGCTAACAATACAAGAGTTCAACTTTGGTCGATAAAAACGCTAGAGTGGATAAAAGCTTAGTTGATTTTGTGTTTCCACCTCTGCCAATAAGAGAAAGATCGTGCACAGTAATTTTCAATCTTCAAGAATATTCCGCACATACAAAAGCCATACCGTAGCAAGGCAACTAAAAATTCCACTTCTTTGAAAAACGGCTAAATCAAAAATAATTCCAAATTAGAATGTTTAGAATGTGAATGATGAAAATAGAGATGAATTACATTGGAAGATTCACGAAAAAACTTTAAAGATATAAAATGTCGGGTGATGTTGAAGTATTCCGTAAACCTGTTTTCAAGCATATTTTTCGAAACGTCTATTTCTTACAACTCATAATAATACATTGGAACTATCGCTAAAGCAACTTGTTAGATGTTCACAGTCTCAAATGCTATCAAAAATCATAAAATTTCTACAAAATGACTAACCATGCTATGCAAAAAAGTAATTATGTTTTGGTTAGTTCGATGTCATTGATGTTAGAGTCGTATTTCGTACACGATAGAGGATCACAACGTAGACAGTAAATATTATCCGAAAGACGCCACAAAAATTTGAATCAAACTCAATTATTACAAAAAAAGCATTTTGTACTTGTAACAAGCACATAATGCCCTTTGATAGTACAATATCTTGAATTAGGTGGACCTGATACACCCCTTTCAAACTCAAGGACGAGCTTAAACAAAATCAAGCACGAATTAGGAATAGGGTTGGTCAGAAA